CACACGCGCGGGGTCTCCTCTCGGTTCGCTCTGTCCCCAAAGTCCCCTAGCGCCTCACCTTCACTGAGTCTACCGGGTACATGACCGAGTGCTCCAGGATCCCGGCCATCGCTCCGGCTGTCATGTGGGTGGATAAGGAGGCGCTGGTCGGCAGGTTCTCGTAGTCCTCCGACCCGGCGTCCTTGCAGCCGCCGCCGCCATCTCGGCTGTCCCCATCCATCCTGCGCCCCCCAGCCTGGCTCCCTACGCCGCCGCAGCGTAGCTCCATCCGCCGGCTCCGCGGGGCGCGGGAGGCTGCAGGAGGCGGGCGGGGAGGGGGAGGGGGCGAAAAACTTCACTTCTTTAAAGTGGGAACCACCTCCCCGGTGCTGCGGCGCCTGACGCCATGGCGGGCCGGGGTGGAGCGGAGGGGCCCTAGACACCAATCACTGGAAAAGAAGAGGCCGGCCGCGGCCGCGCCATTGGTGTACAGGACAGTGGGGACCCGCCTCCCAGTGTGATGTCACTGTCCAGTGCAAATTTCCAAGCAACCGGACGGGGGCGAGAGGAGACGTTGGGGTGTCCCGGGAAGTTGTCTTACCTCCTGGTGGGGTGGTGGTGTCTCACTGTGGGCAGGCCGGGGGAGGAGAGGGCAGTCACTGGAGAGGGTCAGCCGAGCCGCAGATGGGAAATGCTCAAGGCTGGAGGGAGATCAGAAACAGCGGACAGTCTTCCCCCAGAGCCCGGGGTTTTGCAAACAGTACTGCTCAGCAAGCTTGGGCATTCCTCTGGCCTGGAGCGGGAAAGTTACTAAGAGTGTCATTGACGGAGCAGTTATGGTGGCTGGAGGAGGAGGAGGAGGCCACGTGGGGATGGAGTGGAGTTCTAAAATCGAGGACCCACTGCGCGATATGAGTGGCGCACCTTCTTTTGTGCAACAGAAGGGCGTGTACTATGGAGGGGACAAAGTCAAAACTCACGGTCCTGCGCCAGGCTGCTTTGTTGGGTTGAACAGCCATTTATTCGAATTTTTTTCTTTCACTGAAAACATATAGAGAGCAAAACTTGTTCCTCCTCTTATTCTCACAAAGGGGCTAAATCCACCACCCTGCCCTGGACTGAAGACAGTAAGTAATCACCAGGATGGAGCCCTTCTGAGCAGGCAGCTTCAGGACGTTTTCCTGGGGCTGGAAGGGCTTGAGAAGCCTGGTCTGACCATAGGATGCAAAGCGGCCAAGAGAGTTGAGTCTTTCAGTATTGCATCTGCCTGTCTTTGAACACTCTGGTCTCCTAGTTCTTAAACTCATCCTAAGCTGTCTTCTTAAATAAAATGTAACCCAGGCTGCTTTATTTTAACCTAAATAATAATTGTCTTGCTCTGAGGGAAGGAGGAGGGATCAAAAAGTAGGGGAGTCACCTGTCTGTTTATCTAAGGCTCCCTGAAAGGGTGCCATCTGCACCCACATGTGCATGTTCTGGGGCTTTAGACTTGGCTCTAGCTGATCAGCTTTCACTGCACCAGACTCCTTATCCAGAGAAGGCTTCTGGTCAGGAAAGCTATGCCTTGAGATATGGAAGGGTGGGGAAGACCCTGAAGGTGCTGCACCCACTCTTTGGCCTCACCCTGGTTCCAAGACTCAGGTCATAGCAACCTAGGCAGCTCCCAGGGACTTGAGATGCAGTGATGTGAGCCCTGTAATAGAGGCGTCAAGGCCGAGGGCACCATTTCCCCATCTGTGGTAGCTGCCTGTGGTTACTCCCCAGATGAGTGCTAGGGATGTGCTGGGTAGAAACAAGCTCTGTATGTAGTGGTTGCTGGAGAAAAATGTCCCTGCTTTTGCCACAGGTGATTTTCAAGAAACGTTGATCAAAACTTGTGGATACTTATGCAAAAATGGAAACCCTTCAGTGTTAACCCATTATCCCACTTCTGGGCATGTGACACAAGAGTCTGGATATGCGTGACGCTCTTCAAAGCATTATTCATAGTAATAAATAATCAGAAACAACCAAAATGTTCAACTAGGGTGGAATGACCAAACTATGATGCCTGTATTAGTGGAATATTGTGGGGCCATTAAAATTGTGATTATATTATGCAACAACATGGGAAATGATTATGACACCAAGTTAATTGAAAAAACCAACAACTTTATGAACATGACATTCACAAAGATGTCAATATGCACATGAGAAGAGTGAAGTGGTTATTGTGAGAGTGATGTAGTACTGTTGGTATTTTTACTACATTTTTCAGGCAAATAATGCTTCTATTATTTCTGTAACTTAAAAAATGAAAAGAATGAAAGTGCATCATTCTCTTGGGGGTATAATCTCCCAATGGATGAGAAACTGACCTCTGCAGTGGTGATACTGGTGTAGAGAAGTCAGCCTTTGGATGGTTAAGAGGACTCTTGGCAATTGTCAACATGCTCATCATCTTCAGAGACAGAAATTTTGTGGGGGTCTTTTAATTTCATTAAATAAATGATTGTTTAAATTTTTTATTGAGATATAGTCAGTTTACAATGTAGTGTCAATTTCTGGTGTACAGCACAATTCTTCAGTCATACATGAATATACATATATTCATGTTCATATCCTATCATTAAATAAATGTTAAGCCAGAGCCATTTAGAAAATCTATGGAATATTTATTATAAATATTCAATATTTTTCTCACCATACATGGTAGATACGGTGGTTTGGCCCTCAGCATCCATCTTAAGCCTCTCCTTACACTGTACTGGCCAGAACATTTTAAACCACATTTCCCAGACTCCTTTGCAGCTGGGAGCCTAGATGCGATTTAAATTCTGCCACTTAGATGAACAAGGGAGATCTAGGAGATGGAAGGCAGAGAGAGACCACCTTCCTGCTGCTGTGATGTTGTCTCCTGCCTTAGCAAAGTCGTAGACTCTTGGTTAGGGGCAGTTGAGGTGGGCAGTCACTTCCTCATTGCAACAGCACTGTAGTGTCTGGACACCTCGTTCATGAATGTTGAGAGGCAGCTGTGGCAGTGCGGGTGACAGCCTCCTGAGCCCTGCACCATAGCTTCAATAGGTGGCCTTCCTCACCTTTGAGAGCATGGTGAAGGTTCCCTTGGGAAGCCAGGTTGTGGGTGTGGGTCTCAGAGTCATCTCTGGGGATCCAACCTGGGTTTCAGCTCCTCCCTCCCATCCAACAATATTGTATATAGTAGCAAATGGGCATCAAAATGAAGGAGGCATTCCTGGTATCAGAATACAGCAGCCCGCCCTGGTCCTCGACCTCGGTGGAAGTCCTCCTTGGAAGGGGGTGCCATAACCCAGGGCTTTGGCCACACGGCCAACAAGGAGAGAGCAGCAGAGGGACCCAGTGATCCTGCCCCGTGGGTTGGAACAGGAAACTCAGAATGAGTTGCTGGTTCTACCCAAGTCTTACGTAAAGTTCCTGAACATTGAAGTTCTGAAGATGTCGTCATGCTGTCTTAGCCCAACTGGGAGTCAAGTTCCACTTAGAAACAGGAAGCCACAGAGGGCGTAGTGTCCAGAGCACTTGACCTGGAGTCACGGACCTATCCAAGCCCTGGTTCCACCATCTACCAGCTATGTGGCTCTGGCCCTTTGGGTTGGCGGGCTTCCTTACCTGTTGACCATGGGAGTTGACACAACACATGGGCAATGAAATATAGGAAAGAAAATAGAATAAAAGCTCATGGTGAAGTATATATAATTTGGGGTCATTGAGAGGAAAAAGGACAGAAAGGAATTAAGGGTACAGATGTAAGAGGTCCAGGTTTTCTCCAAAATCATTCTCATTTTTTTACAATAATTACTCGAGCCCTGGCACCCACCTGCACAGCCACGTGACACACAGATGTAATAACACCCCACCCAGAATTTAGCCAGTGCTGTGCCTCCCCCCGGGGCCCCAGGTTTCCTCTACCAGAGAGGAGGCCCCTGCCATGGAGGGAGCGCAGCTGGTGTGATGTCCCCTAGAGCGTCGTGGGGATTGGTCCTGGGGTGGAGGTGTGTATTTTGTCTTTTTCACAACAGGGGCTGATCCACATTTCCAATATTTTTAAGTCAAGTGTATCTGCGGGGAGGGCTGTGAGGGCCTCGAGACAGGCCAGCTCCCTCCCTCACATACACATCTGACCCTGCAATCCCAGAATCCCTTGCTTTCCCAAGGACAGCACCTTGTTCCCTAAAAGCTCTATCTGTGATGAGTGTCCCTAGGAAACAGAAGAAGAAATGGAGGGAGAAGCTAGCCTCCCTCCAGAGTCCCCCATCAAATAAGGAAGTGGTGGGGCAGAGCCACCAGGTGCAGAGAACGCACAGCTGCCTCAGTTTACCAGGCTTCCTTTCACAAAGGATGGTGACGCGCAAGGGACAGAGCAGGCGGTTTCATCAGTGGCTCGAGAGAGGATGGTTGATCTGCTCTAAGTCCCAAGAGCTTGCTGCACTCGTGCTGCCCCTGACTACAGGCTTGAGTCCCATGTGAGTGGGCTGGGCCGCCCTGCTGTGAGACAGCCCTGGACTCCTGTTCTGTGGGTGCCTGTGTCATCCTCCCCAGCAGCTGCCCCTGCACTTCCACCGATGAGACCCAGGGATGCCAGCTGCCTCCTCCTCACAGCAAGGTCTCTACACTGTGGTCCTTCCCACTCTCACTCAAGAGCCCATCGCAGAGCCAATGTCTCAAGGCCAGAGAGGGTGGAAGAGGAGCGCTGAGGCCCGAGTGGAGGCAAAACATGGGCTGAATTGGGGGGAGGGTGAGCCACATCTGTGCATCTGCGTGGGTGACCTTGGCCCACCCGCTAGCCACCCACCAAGACTGCTTACATCGTAATCATTCCCTCTCCTCACCTTTTTCCGCAAACACACTCAGTCCTCCATCACCTGGTAAAGTCTCTCTTCCCAGCTCCACACTTAAGCTGCAGCCCCATCTCTCTCTCTCCTCCATCCTGAAGTCCCTAAAAGGATCCACGCTGGCCATCTCCCCTTTCAGGGCACTCACTCCAGAAGCCTTTGCACCGCCGTCTCTAAGCCCTGCGCTTTTCTAAAGGAGCTCTTGTAAAGGTCACCAGTGACCTCACTGCCAAGTCAGCCCGCTTCTCCCCACGCCAACCTCGCGACCCGACCTCCTCTGGAATTCCTCCCTCACTTCCGCTGTCATCCTGCCCTTCCGACAGCGCCCTCTGCCTCCCTCGTGGTCACTCCTTCCTCCCCGCAGCCAGTCTTCAGAGCTCCTTTATTCTCTTCCCTATGGCCCTCGCTTCCATTCCCACGGTCCCATTCCCCACCCTGGCTCTGCTTTAAATCCGAGCATCCCTCTGCAGTCCAGCCCTGGCACTCTTGTGCCTCCCAGACAGCTCCGACCTGGAGCCGGAGTGTCAGCTGTAGTAACAGACGGCAGGTCACAGTCCTAAGGCCA